CAGACGGAATGACGTAACAGCGAGGAGAGGAAGGGGTTGGATAAAGGGGTTGGCCCGAGTGGCCGGTTAACTACACTTCATACACGCGAGAGGTTATCGCGTCTGGTAGGCGCTGATATCAGCTCGGTCCGCGTCCTTTCCTCGTCGCCTCTAGGGTGTCGCGTTCTGTCTCATCTTCCAGCCCCGGCGGTTCATTACTCGCATGCAAATATTCGTCTTCGTAACCCTGCGAAATTCTTCGACCACGCGCGCCGCCAACGCCTTTCACATCCGCGATTCCTTCCATTTTGTTACATTCTTTTCTCACCTCCCGTTTGCTTCAGCTCTCACTGGAGAAACGGCAAGAACGCAGGAAAGGTTTCGTACTCGCGATCGTTGGAAGATCGATCAGTGTTGCTCCGTCTTCTGGGACGCGGAGAGAAGTACGTGGGATCTTTGTGGCAAAAGAAAGGCGACTGTCTTCCAGCTGAGATCTTATCAATCCTTTTCCTATCTTTTCTCTTTCAGAGAACACTACACTGTTTCAGTTCGACTATTGAAGTCCGAACGCATTGTTGTATCCCGCTCGTGCGAAAAAAAGTTATCTCGTTTGGTTCTTAAATAAATAAAGTAGTCAGGCAAGCAAAGACGTGCCACGAACTATTCTCTCGATACGTACACGCCCATCTGCGCTGAATAGTAATTTCGTTAATCCCTCGCAGACGAAGTGTTCTCACTTCCTCGGCTATCTCATCGTTCACAGTCATTCAATCCACATCGGTTTGTGTCCAACTTGAAGAATTAATGGAGATGCATCCCTCGAACAAAGAGCAAGCAAGTATTCCGTGGATAGAACGTGCGAACGTGAACAGTACGATGAAGCTGCACGATTGTTCGTTGTAAGGGAACAAAGATGAATTCGGTGCTGAACGCGACGTTGTAACGCGACATTGATAGAACTCGGTTTGCTTGACTCGAGGAAATGGAGGCAAACAAGCGCCGAGGAAAAAAAGGCAACTTGTAAACCAATTTGAAATTCCTCTTTATACGGGAGAAAAAGAAAAAAGAAAGACTCCGTTTCGCCGACGAGTCTATTGTTCGTGCACGAGTCGCGAGCGCGACAGCGAGCGTCGCGCCGGGTCCCGAAACCCCATCAGGAGATTTTCTGTGCCGGGATTCAATATATCGTATAACCGTCTCCGTCATATCCGATTCTATTTCAGTCGGGACTTCCCTTGCCAGCTCAAAGCCGACGGTTGCTCGTCGAAAGAACAAGGGAGAATGGAGAAGGGGGAGGTGGGGGTTCGAATAAGAAAGAAAGTAGAAGTTGTCAAGAGAGGCAAGAGGCGAGAGCCTGGAGGGAAGGGAAGTTCAGGCATGTTCAGCTTTCACGGTTGCCACATTAGCTCGGGGAACAGTCGAATGCGAGTCGCGTAAGCACCAAGGTGCGATTCGTCGTTTAGCTTTCGTCGATGCAACCCTGTCACCCCGAGTTACCTGCACGAGGCGCGCCGCGACGACAAGGAGTCGGAGGACTCTGCTGGCAGATAAACAGAGGGGGAATGAAAATGTGAAATAAGAATGAAAGTGTGGAAAATAACGAAGGAAGCGGATAGAAAGAGGAAGAGACTAAAAAGATGGCTCAGATTAGAGATATCACTGGCGCGATGAACGGAAGAGAAGAGTGGAGATCAAGAGAGGGGATTAAACGAGAACGAAAAGAGAAATAAAATATCGTAGAAGCAACCGGAGGTTAGAAACCCTCTTTTGGGGTTAAAAATATAGAAAAGTGTGAAAGAAGAAGACGGAAGAGCGACGACTGAAAGAGAAATGACTGGTCAGAGGAAGGCCACGTGGGACGTCGCGTACAGAGCTCTGCCCTGCGGGGAGAGATCTCTGTATTCCCGGCAGGAGCCCGAACACTCGATAGTGTGCTTTAGAAAAATTCGTGACGGAACTGCTAAAACGAGCCGCGCACAATTTACGTTATTAAATCGGCGGAACGGCTCGAAGCACCGGACGAGTACCGCCTATCCACGCTATCCTGCGTTTAAGTTCTCCTTTCGACCTACTCCTCTCCCTGTCACTCCCCCTTCTATCCACTTACGCTTCAACGCTTTCCACTTCGTGCGCGGCTGTGTGTGTGTGTGTGTGTTGCTCGATCGTCCAGCCGGACCTCCCTCTTTCGTTGGTCCCTCCATCCTCCTGAAACTCGGTTCACGGATTTCCACGTAGTCCGATAAGATTCTTTACGGAGGTCCGGCCTCGTCATAAGGCGACCTGGATTTCTTTCGGCGGTCTTGTCTGTACACCGGGCGATCACGTTCGCGTTCCAGCAGGAATTCGAAATTACACCTACCGCTCGGACAACGGGGTCCTGTCTCTCGCGAGGCAAATCAACGTCACTGATCGAGATTTCTCTGCTGAGGAGATTTCTTTGATTGAGAGAGGGTACTGCATCCCGCTTGCAATACCCGTGTATTACTTTCACGTGATACTTGAAAAGTAACGTGTGAATTGCCGAGAGACGACAGGGAAATGTTTGTATGATACGTTGCTATGCTATAACTGATATATATATATATATATATATATATATATATATATATATATATATATATATATATATGTTCATTTTCTCCATATTTAAGTATTATAATGGCAGATTTAATTATGAATGAATATAGGGGATTACAAATGATTCAATATTTAATATTCGATTGAATATTTCGGACGTAAATATGACTTGGTTTCAATTTTTATTAGTTTTGGAAGATCTGCTATTAACATTTTCTCGCCAACAATTGTCAGTTAAGCTGGCACAAATATTATTATTATCTTCTGTTCGTACATAAGTATTAGAAGAATAACATTTCTAAACCGCAATAAATATTCTGAACTCGATCTAATAATAATAATAAATCCTGTCTATAGTTATCGAGTGGTTTTGTTGAGTTGGAAGTCATGGAAATAGTTCGCCAGCGCAGATTAACGATTCTTGCTGATTCAGAAATAAATAAATGCCCGTGTTTCTTCAGCCGTTGATTTAACAACATTACCAAAGCTGATTTTAGATGTTCGAGCAAACAAAGATATTGTGTCACTCGCTCGCTCGACCCACGTTCATCAGCAAGTTCCACTTCTGTCTGCTCGCCCGACGTTATTTTTTTATGAATCCACCTGAACTAATAATAAGTTTATACGTCGGGACAATATACGTCGACGTTTGATGAAATAATCGATACTCCGCGAACGAAATGTCGGTCCGTCTAGTGCAGCCATGCAGCGGTACGCGAGCTATGCATTTTCCTGATTGCTTCGAATACCAGTCCACGAGTGTGGAATAATTCCACGCAGGAATTGGCCAACTTGGCGGAGAACAAAGTTCCCCGGTAAGACACCGCCAGCGGTAAACAATCCTCGCCGATGGCCCGAAGTAAAACAGAAACGTCGCGCGATATAACTCGCTCGGCAAACAGCGACAACGCCGACGTGTCTTCGCGGTCGATTTCCACGCAAACGCGCGATAAACACGCGGAGGTGTCGCCTGGCGATTTATCACGCGTAAAGTACAGCCGGTGTTTTTCGATGCCGGCGTGTTTATCGCTTTTTGTCGCGCTACCGTCTCCCGTAGTTCATCGTCATCCCGTTTTCACGCCGCGCGAACGAAGCGGGCGAATCTCCTCGAAATTCTCGCGAATATTCGCGAAAGTTCGTCCCGTTTTGCCCTGCATCGACGGTCAAGAGAGTTCTCGCCGATGGGAACTTTATCGTCGCCCGCCGACGCAAGGGGCATCTCGTACTGGAAGGGGCAGCAACGTTTTAATTATAACAATGTTTTGCATCGGGCGACCGGCGTAAAGTTTTAATCCGCCGCGAAGTTTCGACTTTGATTAAGCTTTCGGGGGCTAAGCAAGGTTATTTCATCCTTTGTTATAAAACAAGCAGGTTGCCGAAAAGGGAACTTCCAAGCCGCAGGACGTTGCGTTGCGAGATGAAACAAAAAAATTTCCCGACTAAAGAATTAGCCGTGTTCCCGGAACGATTTCTAACCAGACCTGTCCTAATCTACTCTGAAACGCGATTTCTTCCAAGGTGCTCAATTACTTGTCCTGAAACGCGAACAACGTCTATCATTGGGTACTCAGACGTATCACGGTGGATCGTTTCGTCGAAAAATCGCGCGAAGACACGAAGATTTATGGAAATATAGGATAACTTCCGCTCGTCGAGGGTCACGCGTTATAGTCACGATAACAACGTCCGTAAATCAGCCAAGGGAAAAGAAAAGAACGGTCAGTGAAATCGATCGAAATGCCGTGGAACGGTGTGTGCTCAACTTACACCTGAACGTTCGTTTCTTTTCTTTACTATGTACCCTAGGCTTGCACCTCTTCCCCACCCGAGCCATCCTTTCCTTATAGTCGGTGTAAGGGCGATTTCTCTCCGAAACGACGTTACCCCGTGTCGAGAGAATTTAAAACAAAGTCACGATTCCCTGCATCTAGGATGCCAACGATCTATTCGGAGATAAAGACTGGCTCGCGCTGATACACGTATACAACAAGAGCTTTCTCCGCGCCGACAATAGTTCAGAACGAAGTAAAAAGAGAAAGAGAGCGAAAAAATGTATATTAAATACATATAAATGTGTAGGGAAAAATTTCTTTATACAGGGAATAGAAATGAGGAAACGGCGTGGTTAGGCACTCACATATTGTAGTATCGATTATTATACTTAAACTGTAGTTATAATTTTAATACAACAGATGGCCTATTTGTTGATCATAGAAATACAATATGAATGTAGAATGTAGAAGCAGAACGTAGGCATGCAGCGCTCTTGTTTTTGAAAAGAGCAGAGTTGAAAAACCGAGTCGTGAGAGTCGTGAGAGAGCGTTGAGAGAGAGCTATTAAAAGTGTCAATTGTATTGTTAAAAGAAGTTTATTTGATTTGTTAATTCCTCGTTGTTTGATCGTTATTTGTCTTGTTTGATTATCTGTTGTTCTATTATCATTACTTTTAATAAATAAACACTATTTATATTATATCTCTACAATATTCTATGTTAAAATATATAATGTACAAGCGTGTAATTAAACATATATTAAATAACGCCGCATTAATCAACGTTTGAGAGTTTCAAAGCTCATATATGTTTCGCTTTTGCCTCGGTACAGGCCTCTCGTGCATTTGTATCGAATTTCAGCCCTATTCGTTCGTCGCCTCACGTCCGATTGACAAGAGCATCATCGCCGATCGTGGTGGAATTTTTTATCTCGCACAATGCGTGAATGAGAGACAGGCTCGTGGCTCGCGAACCGGAGGATCGTACGAACGACAACGGAGACGACAGATTCGATTTCATAGTATAAAGATGTTCCGTGGATCTTTATATTCGACCAAGTAGTCACGTATGAACGGAGGCGAGCAATTTCTGCCTTCTGTGTCGCTGCGATTTCTGTGCTAATGGCGTTTTTATGGTATCCGGTATCCAGCTTCCGTTTTACTGCTTCGCAACATGGACGAGCTATCCCGTGACGCAATATCGTTGGAACGAGGCACGCTACGAACGAGACATTTCCACGATGCTCCAACGAAGGTTCTAATTCGAAGAGAAATCAATGCACGAAACCTCTTAGAGAACGTTGAACGAAATAATCTTTAGAACTCTCAAGGCGTGGAATAACGAGCGTGGGATGCTGCGTCAGAATTTTTTCAAAGACAGCTTCACAGAAAACTCTATAACCCATTGTTTGGTTTCCTTCTATCTTCCGACAAAATTAAATGTCTTTCGCTTGAACATGCCTTTTATTTAATATCCGCCGTAAAATCTCGTTCACGAGTCGAAGCTTTCGCTCTGATAAATAAACAATATCGTACAAAGAGCATTCTGCCACGAGACTGCATCGCGCGCAGATGCGTGCAATTTCATTTTTCGGATAAAGAAAAACTGCACGGAAGAAACTTAACATTTTGAATTTCAAATTCAAATATGAGCTGCGGCTCCAACATCCGTTTAATCCCCTTCCTTTTCCAAGCAAAGTTACCATATCAAAGCTATCGCCGGACTTGGTTGATTCACTTCTCGTCTCGTTCGACGCACAGAGTCCGATAACGCGATTAAAAGAAACAGACGAACGTACACCGCGTGATTTCAGGCGAAAGTTATCCCTGCGAGAGAAAGATCGGACGTCTTTTCGTTATCTACCTTCCCTGCTATCGGTTGCACGCTGTCGTTTCTCATTGAGCTTACGTGAACGACCCATCTCCCGCGTGATTTACAAAGCATGCCGGCCTTTTGATGCGAAACAACGCGCGAATCCTCGCGCGGATATTGCTTCATGCGCCGGGATAGGCATTCCGCGCGTTACTCGGACACAACGGGCGACAAAAACTCTCGCGACAAACAAGCGTTCGTTCTTTACTCGAGCTACAGATTCATACATATTCTGTGATGGTTGTCGAACGTCGATTTCATATTGATGATGTTCAATCTTGGACGACTGAATGAAAATTGAAAATTAGATACGCCATGGCACACATTGGCAAATTTCTCGGAATGGAGGAGTACACGCGTAATACTAACAAAGAGCCACATACTAACAATGCCACACCACAGAAACCCAAAAGACAGAAATACGGAATCAACGCAAACATAAACCTGACTTCTCAAAATGACATACAGAAAGTATTAAAATAACAAAAACATAAACTACTGCACACATATCTAATGGCACCGTCGTCGCTAATGACCTCGCTGTCGATGCGACATTAAAGAAAAATAGAAGAAGAAGAACAACAACAAAGAGCAATATGAGCTGATCACAAAAATATCAGATAATAAAACAGACGGGGATTTCTTTTTTCTAATTCCAAACATTCGAACATGTAGATCATTCTCGAATATTTGCCGATCTTATTATGAGATTACACATTCTTTCGCGCGAAAGAAAAAAAGAAAGAACGTACATTCGTACGTTTCTTTACGCAGCAACTACTACAATATCGGATGACGATATTTATCAAAGCGCGTTCGACGGACGGATTGACCCGGTTGCCGGTTTATCCCCCATGTTTTTCTTGCCCCGGAAACGGGGCAGGAGGGGGAGGAGAGGGTCGGCCGAAAATTCGGCCCGCGTTGAAAAGCACGGTCCGATCGTTCCACCCGGGTGAAATCAGACTGCGCCGGTAAAAATATTTGCGGCAACCTCTTTTTCCTTCTTTTTTTTATTTTTTTTTTTTTTCATTTTCGAGCGCGAAATCTGCCTCCGCGGCCTCCGTGTTTAGTTTTTCCCGCGGGTGGGAACGTCGAACCGGTTTGTTGTTAACTTCGGAAAATCTCTCGGCGCTTTCGATTGAAAGCAAAATCGTTTCGAGGGAACTTCTCTTCTGGCCAGGGCTCGCTATTGTGCGTGCGACGGCACGAATGAAAGTTGAACACGCAACGAGCACGGATGGGGAAAAACTCCCAAAATTTCCAGCCCCTCTCGACTCGAAATTCAAACAGCCCCGTTAATATCGGAGTATTTCGCGCGGGGGCGAAGCGACGACTCTATAGTTCGAAGAGGAGGCGGGTGGGGGGTTTAATAAAGCAAGCGGGAGAAATGGCAAACGGACAAAGCGGAACGAAAAATCGTCTTTCTTGCTCTGGCGTTCGCTCGGCGAATATCGTTCTCTCTCTCTCTCTCTCTCTCTCTCTCTCTCTCTCTCAGAGCCGATGATATTTTTCTCCGCGTGACTCGTCCAGGTGACTGTCGGCCGTGCAGGATGCGCCCGACGGTTTTCATCTTCGATCCCGAATCGTTTTCCGATACGTGTACCAGTATGTACGTGTACCAGCCACCGATTTCACGTTCCTCCTCGTTTTATTCCAAATATCTGGCGCGCCGGCATTAAATCGAACCAAAAAAGAGGGACAGTCGATGAGGGAGGGGAGGTGAAAACGAAGAAAAATGCCAAACGTCAGTGGGAATCGGCTGAAAAGAGATCGAAATGCTCTCCATTATCGCTTAATCGAGGAATCAGATCGCACGGCGCTCCCCTTCCCGACGATACGCCCGATCGTTATTTAATCGTTTCGCGATACTGCCGTTCTAATATGGGCAAACCTTCGCTTCGTTACGAGGCAGCGGTGAACGAACCTCTTCGAAAGTTACGAAACAAAATTCTACGAAAAAATGAATTACACTCCCACGCAAAAGTCTTGATATAAACTGGAAGAAGTAAACGATACTTTATACGAGAAAAGCATCAACGAAATTTTGACAATAACCGACGATTCCATTCCTACGAATGATTGAATACCGATGGTGTTTTAAACAATACAAGTAAATAAATAATTAGAACAATTACGTCAAATAAATTACACTCCTACGCGTAAATTTCGCATAGCACACGTCAATAATTCTATTGTAAAATGCGACATTTTATCTACGATAAAAATGCTGAAAATTAAAAATAAAATCTCTTTACATCATTCGAATCTTGTCCAAGATAGTAGGAAGTAGGAAATATTAGAAAAATTGGATATGCACGTAAGTATATTACACTGACGTAACGCTCGGCTATCTGGGAAATTAAGAGACGCTTGTTCACGAGAGAAGAGATCATTCATTTTCAGTGAATGATCCTCTCGCCGCTTTTCCAGTGGAACGACTCCGGAATTCAATTATCTTACTCTTCGATTGTCCTAATTAAATACTCAATCCCATCACGGATGCGTCCGATGTTCTGTCGTCCGTGGAATTTAAATCCAGGCCGAGTTTTACGTCAATGGCACGCGGAATGCACGCCTGGAAAACCGGCGAAATTTCGCCAACGTATCGCATGGACTCGCGTCATTTAAATTCGACTTTATTTCGAAAAAGTTGCTGCAACTCTATTTAATTCACCGCGTCGGATCCCAATTTTCATGACAGTCCGCACGGTGTTACACACTCGCGTGTAATAACTAATCGTTCTCTCATCAACCTCAAACGCTCTTCAATTCCTGGTTAAAGTGCAAATTTAATTCTTCTTTCTATATATCGTTAAATAAATAGGCGCCAAGTAGAAAGATGGATTTCGTCATTTATTCGATTGCGAATTTTTCTACAAACTCATACTATATTTTTGAAAATATAATTTCACGTACTAAACATCTTGCACTTGAATTCCTTGATAAAATTTCTTAGAAATTGCATAAAAATTCGCGGTCTAATTACAATTAGAGAACAAAGAGCAAAGATGCAGGGAATGCACTCAACGTGTGAGACAAAGTACTTGTCATAATGTTTAAGAGCGGAAAGAAATTTCCGCTCGAGCTTTGTTCCTTGAATTGCGTTCACAAAAATATGGAACAGCATGAAAGTCTCGCTGTCTAATTATACAACGTGCCGTGTACTTTTGATATTTTCCATGTTTCTACATATTCCGTGCAATCTTGCTACTATTCTAAAGTTGCAAAACCCGCAGTTTATTCACGGGAGCAAAATATCTAGGAAAATAACCTCGAGAACGAAGATACGCAAATGCAACATCCGTCAAAACACTGTGAAACTAAATGCAAAATCGAACGCAATAACAAGCATTCGAACAAGATTCGCTCTTTTTTTCCGAATGTTTACGGCAATTTTCGAGATGTGGCACAAAAATCTGGCAATATCGCGCGAACTTTTCAAGCACGAATGTACATATGTATATACAGGGTGTTTCGTAACTTGTGGAACTTCGGAAGCTGATTGTACGCCTAAAAATAATGAAAAATGTCATATAAATATATGTCCTATCTGTCTTCGTTTGTGAGATATAATGAATTTTCTGTTTTAATTACTTTTACAAAAGATACTCGAAATGACCACGTTGCATTTGAAGACAAGTCTGCACGCGTCTTGTCATTCATCTGGTTACTCTCTCTATCATTCCTTGTGTTTCTCAAATTTGTCGGAAGCCTTGCTCTATTCTATTTCGTAGTATTTCAGCATGTTCAATCGATGTTGCGTATACAATAGATTTTAAATCTCCCCACAAATGAAAATCTAATGGATTCAAATCCGGAGAACGAGCAGGC